ACACGACAGACACGCACGACACATATATATATATATATATATATATATATACATATACATATACATATACATATACATATACATATACATATACATATACATATACATATACATATACATATACATATACATATACATATACATACACAAACACACACACACACACATATATATATATAGAGAGATAGAGAGGCCTCGGGGGCCGACAACGCCCTGAAACCCTAAGTGTAAACAGGAGACAAGTTCGGCCCATACACTATACTACCTATGGCTATGGCGATGCTCAAGTCCCCTTCTCCCACGGGAATAGATGGCTCCATGGTTGCTGAGTAAACAAGTGCTTCTCCTTCACTGTTCTCGCTCGTTGTTTCCAGTTGCGCAAACTGATAGATGGGAGTATGTACAGTAAGACGTACGATTAGTATATAAACCATTGCTACACAAACTGATGATGGAATATGCACAGTAAGAGATAGCTCAGTGCAGAATCATACATATACTTATATATACTAACATACATATACTTATATATACTAACATACATATACATATACATATACTTATATATACTAACATACATTTACATATACAAATACATGTACATATTTATTTATATATATATATATACATATACATATGCGTATACTTATCCAAATACATATTTATGAGAATAAAGCCGTCCATCTTGGTTGCTAGTGTTTGTATTAATGAAGGCTGATCAACAACTGATGCTCATAAATAACTACCACTAACACAGAAACCCAAAATTAAGACAAACTTACACACTATACTCAGCCCCCCCCCCAACACAACACATCTCAGGGAACGTACTCGAGAAGGCAGTCTATGTTTGATGTGTACGTACATACCTAAACCCAATCAGGCCCCCTCCCACCCAACATACACACACAGAGAACCGACGAACCTGAGATCGGAAACGCAATTGAGAGGCCAATTTGTATTTGATGTGCAACGCAGTCATTCTATCAACAGCGGAGCACACCGCTTTCACACGGTTCAAAGCGTCTGCGTCCATGTCTTCAGTCTGCATTACAGTGATACAAAGTGAGAAGATGTATATTAATATACTGTTATACCAATATACACACGGGTATACATATATATATATATAAATACATAAATATATACACATATAGATATAGATATATATATACGTTACTCTGTCTCTCGTCCATATCACCGTACTGCTTTGCAGTGGGACGTAAGGTAGACCGTGGGAGTGAGCGTGAATATATGACGAGAGTAAACCGTTGTAAGACATTCTATCGTCTCTACAATCATAGTCAACCAGAATTTAAGATATGTTAGGTATACCAATTCGTGCAGAGTGCGTGTGTATGTGCACGTCTTCTCCATATATCCGTCGTAGTCCAACGGATATTGAATGCTCACATGCAGGCCCCGGGAACCTGAGCTATATACTGTTAAAGCTGAACATTCATGTACTCAACTTCAAAGGTGGCGCACACGCAGGCGCCAGAGATCAGATAGCCAGCTAAATAATGTTTAGGTGGAACATTCATATACTCAACTTCAAAGGTGAACCTTGAGATATTTATCATTGAAGTTCGATACTCAGACATGTGATATGAAAGTTGTATGTTGCGATACTCAACTAACGTGAAAGCGCTTGCATCGCCATACTGTGGTTGTGAAGTAGTGAGGTCGTTGTGGAGTCGACGTCTGGTTCTTATAATGAATGTGATATAATAAATGATGATAAAATAAATCGAGATGTATTTGTCACTTGTAGTGATATATCCATCACACAGTGATATAGTTATAGTGTACGTATACCGCTTTCATCTTTTAGACCTACAACCCAGCGCGCAATTAGCAAATACTCAACACTAACCAAGTGACATGCATCAGGTCGATGCCCACACTGAACAAGACAATACTAACCACAATTAACAAGACATTACACCCTACAGATAACTATACAATACCACCCAAGCCTACAATTCCCCGCATATACCTTTGACAGCATGTCTTGGCACTCTGAGTTGCATAGCTGCAGATTACGGTGCAGTCTCGAAAGCTCCCGCCCGGGATCGAGGTTCATCTCCATCTCCTCGAGATCATCAGGAATGGCTGAGGCAGTAAAGCAAATACAAATACACTTTAAGCATGAATAGCACGGTACATACACATAAAGGGATTATGAAAGCCTGCCTACGCGAGATGATTGAAAATAAATACATCAATACGTACAAAGTGTGTGTAGTACACCACGTCCCACGCGCAGTTGGATGGAAAGGTGTCTATTTTGTAGAGTGTTGGATTGATGAGGATAGCTGGTCAGTCAAGTGACACTTGTGTATTGTGTTGTGTTCTAGTGTGCTGTCTGATAGCTGTATATATACACACACCCACACCCACACGCACACACACACCACACACATATATATATATGCATATATATTAATGTATTGTACCGCTGTAAGACTACAAGGATGTTAATTTTAGTGTACGGGGTAGTTGTATGCTCTATTGTGTTGTACATGCTTGTCTAGTGCAGCTGTCTGCCGGGGGATTTAGGGTTCAGGGATTTTACCCTAGAACCCAAACACTAAATACAGTCGCGAAGGCGCATATTCTCATCGCTAGTTCTAAGCCCCACCGTCCGATTCACAGTGATAGACACGGACGCGAATGTGCACTCAACCACAGCTATATGCACACGCACTGTTTTATGTGTATGTATACTTATGCACACACACTGTTTTATGTGTATGTGTACTTATGCACACACTGTTTATGTGTATGTGTACTTATGCACACACACTGTTTATGCGTTTATGTACCTACGCACACTTACTGTTCACGCTGATGGAGTCCAGAAAGGCCTGCATGCGTTTCATGTTATCCACAATGTAGAAGTTGAGCGCGCGCATGTACTGTTCCTTCTCTCCAAACTGCACCAGCGACGCGAGACTCTGCAGCGTCTTCGCAATCAAGGTAAGACTACGGGCCACCTGGAAGGAAAGGGCACGGCGCATTGAGATGCTATGTCTAGCTTATGCGGTGTTGAAACGGTACAATACATTGATATATATATATATATATATATATATTTAATATATATATTTAATGTATATAAATAATATATATATATATATATACATATACATATACATACACGTACACACATAGACACACGCACGCACACACACACACACACACGCACGCACACACACACATACACACACACACACATATATATATATATACGAATACGCGTGTATACAAACATAGCTATGGATATGCTTGATCAACTCACAAGTCACCTGCGTGTATTTTCTGTTCGTGTTCTTATTTATTGTCTCAGCATATAAACCAGAGTCGCACAAACTTCCAATGAACAACAACTTAAGATATACTATGGCAAGCGTATACGGTCTTGTTTGACCCACCCCACCATCTCCCATAGAGCACAATGCAATGTGGGCCAGTCTGACTGTATCACCCACACCACTAAAGCATAGCGCCCTATAGCCCACCCTGGGGTGTGACCTCAGCTCATGGTGTATCTCTACCCTGGCGCCGGTTGAAAACCAGTACAATAGAAACACATGTGCATACCCTGCCGCTGACTCTCTATCTGTATATATGTATAAATACACAAGTGTATATGCCTATCAAGAAAGCTTTACTCAGTGTATATAGATACACATGTGTATATGTCAACCAAGCAAGCATTATATCAGTGTATATACATACACGCATATGTATATGTCAGTCAAGCAAGCTTTATTCAGTATATATGAATACGTATGTTTGTAAGTCTATCAAGCACGATTTATATCAGTATATATATAAATACATATGTTTATATATCTATCAAGCACATTATATATCAGTATAAATACATATACACATATGTACATGTCTATCTAGCACGGTTGTGGACACTTCACGCGCCTATACTAGTACCGTGCATAGCGCATATCCAAACCTTTTCATCGGGAAATTGGTCCGCCAGGCCGAAGAGTTTGGGGCCCATAATTGCGGGACAGAATAAGCGGAGGAAAAGAAACGCTGATACTGCCTGTCAATGCAACGGGGGAGATGTTGAGTCGAGAGCAAGATCCCAGTATGCGAAGGTTTAACCCCAAAACCCTATATAAAAGCCTTACCATCATTACGTACGAAAGGGAAGAAACGCAGGGACAGACTACTCAAGATACGGCGATAGTTGTATATTGATTCAAAGTAATTAGTATTAGTAGCTTATCGATGCTTACTAGTGGGAATATAATGAAGGTGTTGAGATAGTATAAGTTGCTTATTGGTTGTTTCTAGTGAGACTATAACAATGTGCTCAGTACACGCCTTCTAAAATAACTGTGCTAACCCCGCACATACACGGACATACGCAATACACTACTACAACACACAATATACCGAATGCCCGCACATTCTAACCTCAGAGGTAGTCAAGTACACACCGAATAACTGTGCGCGTAGCCAAACTTCCTTGTCACCGCATCCTTCAGAAAGCTCAGCACTATCCTCATCTCAATCGGACAAGCATCCACTGTACATACATACCCAGTAAATGTAAGCGTGAGTGTTATACATACATACCATGTAAAATGTAAGCATGAGTTATACATACATACCAAGCATATGTAAGATGAGTATTATTCATACATACCAGGTAAATGTAAGCGTGAGTATTATACATACATAAAATGTAAGCGTGAGTGTTAACACATAGGCTTGGTAAAGTGGGGTAGGAATAGTATCGAGATTGGCTTTCATTGCCACGCCGGGATATAGCTCGTAGCCTATGGAGGGTAAACCATTAGGTAACAAGACGAATTCACTGCCGTACTACACCCACCAAT